ACCATGTTCTTCCACATACGCAGCAGTTCTTGCTTCAGACTTATATGCTGACGGTGCACGATAGGTATTATACCTATAGGTATAATACCTCTGGGTATACCTACCTCATGCATTTACCACATCCATTCGGAAATATGCACTCGGTCAATAGTATTATTGTCTCCAGTCAATAGTATTTATTACGTGACCGTAATAAATACTAATGATTCCAGAAACTTCCGAATGGATGTGGAGTATGCATTCATTGATTATATAACCCATCAGTATTTCGTTTCTTGTCAGCGCGAGCCTTTGAGCATGAGCAATAACTGATGCCAGTCATGGTTTTGTGCACCACTTCCAGCCAAAAAATAACCTGTCCGTATATAAAATATTTCCTGAATCAGTATCGTGGCAATTGAAAACGAACGCGAATCGTAAGTTCTTAAGGTTATCAAGTATCAACGCAAACAAAGCGATTGTAAGGAAGAGCAAGTTCGAACAGAGCGTTAGTACACTTACTTGTTGACAATTTGTAAGCTAGCAATGCCCAGTCAAAGGCTAGGCTAGTTCATCAACAAACCAGGGATTGGTGAACCGACAAGGAAACGACTATGCCTATCCAGAAGTTGGTAGGTCCACAAGGCCCAGACTAGTACTCAACAAGGTGACGCCTATGCGAATTGGAACCAAACTTGTAGACAAACTGTTAGTTTGTTGGCCAACAAGCCTGGGGTTGGTGAATCGACAAGGTATCGACAAGGTGACGCCTATGCGAATTGGAACCAAACTTGTAGACAAACTGTTAGTTTGGTGGCCAACAAGCCTGGGGTTGGTGAATCGACAAGGTATCGACAAGGTGACGCCTATGCGAATTGGAACCAAACTTGTAACAAGGAGCCAACTTGTAGATTTGGTTTACAGTGCAGTGGTCCGCCTTGCCCCAAATCTAAATTCTGTCATTATCATGACGTATATGTCAAATAGCCCAACATTGCAAAACCTTGCCTTTCCTAAAGTGTGACTATAACTAAGTTTATAACTTTGTTCTTCACAGTAAAGTGCAAAATAGAAACTAATCATGCAAGAAAGGCGCCGTAATTGAATCACCCGTAGACCACTTATATTAGATCGGTTTGACGAAAAACAACATTTTTCTCAACAACTCAAAAGCTATGCATCCTAGCAGCATGAGCTCAAGGTGGCCATTGTTACGAAGGAAAACAAACATAGTGAGTGCATAAAGCAGTAGATACCAGCAGCGGTTCAGCCAGGAGGGCTGGTGGTCCGTCTTGCCCCGCTGGGCCGTCTTACCCCACCTTCCCCTATAGGTTTAACATCGATGAGAACTATATGCGGCACCGTCTCGGTCTGGCCAGCCGGGTTGCCGATAGAATACACAAATGTTTATAAGCTTCCGTGATGTGCTTAAAAGACTGCTGAAAATATATCTTTAAAAAAAAATAAAGGTAACTACTTCATCGATTTTAGCGAAAGAAAACATGTATGCCTAATTACTTATTTCTTGCCACTGACGGAGGCACTTTTTTGTGCGAAACGTCTGGTTTTATTCGTATTGTTATTGTATTGTCATTCCCTGTGAGATAACAGGATAACTCTTCAGTTAGTAACCATAACAGCGAAACGGCTCAATGTAACACAATTCACTGTGTATACGAAACCTATAATTGTCCCTAAAAATAATCCTATTACAACTTTTAAAAAGATACAGCCTATACAGCTTAGGCATACAATTTGTTCTGCATTAAGATAATATTCATTTATCTCCACAGAATATGGTAAATTAGCGCTGCTGAAGTTCGCTTTCGAAGCGTCTCCTCCAAGCATTCCACAGCTCTCGTGCCATTTTGGATCACGGAACATGGCTGGGCGCAGGACAGGCTGTCTGCGAGCTTGGACGGACCACGTGACCACCTCCTCCCCTCCCCCTCACTCCCGTCCCCTTCCCCAGCAGGGCGTCCGATCTAACCGCGCCCCAGGCAGTCGGCTCGGTCCGACCCTCCCCTGGTCGAGCCACGGCCGCCTGAGTTTGTGCCGAGTGCAAAACTGGAGCAGTAACTAGCGCCGGAACTAGTAGTCAGCACGACCATCGTCAGATGGCAGGAGTAAATGGAATAAGCGGTTCCAGGTTTCAGAAGGAATGGGGCAGGAAAAAGCGCTGAAAACAATGTTTTGCTGATATAGCCATGCAAACAATCATTTCCCAATTCGCCTCCAACGGTGTCACAGGCAAAGAATACGCTGAAATACTAGTGTGTACAGAAGCAACTGCGGTTCCCTGTACCATTCGTGACCTAAGATGACCTCAGGGCATAAACAGGGGTCACGGACACCATTTTCATGTTCAGTGTGTCTAAACCACTTGTACTTCGGTGTTTGGGAGTGTTTATAATGTCTTTCGTCCAAAAGAGGCGCATTTCAATTTTCTCCCATTGACTTATAATGGGGAGGTCGCAAAATTGACCTGACCTTAGGTAATCGATATCAAAATTCTGAGATATACATTTTGTACATGCTATTGCTTTTAGCAATCGCTGGTAGTTTCAAAGCGATCGGTCACTCGGTGTAGCTATGACAGACATTGAAACTTTTTATGAGGTGAGGTCACTTAAAGTGACCTGGTGACCTGACCTTGAATGACCTTGGTCTGAAATTTTCACAACATGTGTAGAATTGATGTATGATAAGGTGTACCAAAAACGGCGGCGCTCCGCGCCGCCATTTTTGAGATATTCGCGAAAAACCACAAGGGGGGTGTTCAAACCCCCCCCAGCAGGGCGCGGGTTAACCCTATTCCTGGCGGGGGGGCCTCAGGAGCCCCCCCCCCTGAGGTTTTTTGGTTATATCTCCCAAACGCTTTGAGCTAGGAAGCTCAAATTTTCTGACTTTTTCTAAAAGGCTTTTACGCAACATTTCTGAAAATTTTGAGTTGATCTGACCTCAGGTCAGGTCACCAGAGGCGGTTTGGTGACCCTACCTCAGAAAAGTTTGCAATCACGCCAGAGCTAGAGTTTTTGACCGATCAATTTCTTCTCTTCAGGCTTTAGTTAGGGTACCAGTATGTGCAATTTGTATATCTCAGAATTTTCATATCTGTGACCTGAGGTCAGGCCAGACTCGTGACCTTTACATTGCAAGCCTATGGGAAAATATTGAAACGCCTCCTGCTTCGTGTAAACGAGTCAAAACCACCCAGTTCTTTCAGTATTATGGAAGATTATCTCATCGGTGATGATCCTGGTGCCGCTAATTGACAGGGGCACCGGCAAAGTCATCTGAGGTCATGTGACGTCATAAATCGTTTTTCTGTCAATAAATCACGACATGATGGTGCTAAAGACTTGTAAGTGGTACCAAACTGCTCGCCTGGTCAAGGCGCGTCGTTTGGTATGCAGCATGACCATACCCCACAACCTCATTGATGAATGACCTGACCTTGACCTCAGGTCAAATTTTAAATTGACCTGTGAAGGTCATCACATAATTATTTCGCATCGCCTCGGCGAGAGCAACAAAAAATGTATTGGTTTATGTCTCTATGTTTCTTAGTTTAAGGGTTATATAGGTAACTAATTCCAAAACATTTTATCGTTGATGACCTCTGGTGACCTCAATATTGACCTGACCTGAAAATGTTTTATGTAAAAGTTGTAGATCTTTAAACGACCTATCAAACGCCGTTCGCCGTTTGTCGCTGCGATGTGTAGTTTTTGAGATCTGAAGGGGGGCCGAATCGCCCTCCCCCCCGCCAGTTTCTTGTCCCGGCGGAGCCCGCCAGGAAAAGGGTTAACATTAGTTTTGAGTTGAGACAGCCAAATTGGTGGCCATGGCCTGCAAATACCGGTTTGGGCACTCACAACATCGAAAAATGCTTTAACCCGCGCCCTGATGGAGGGGGGCATTTTGCCCCCCCCCCTGTGGTTTTTCTTAAATAGCGAGAACACGGTTTTTGGGTACCTTACCGGGCATCAATTTGACACCTTCACACAAAATTTCAAGTCACAGGTCACCTCATTTGGGTACCTTACCGGGCATCAATTTGACACCTTCACACAAAATTTCAAGTCACAGTTCACCTCGGGTCAGGAGTTATTGAGGTCAAACTGAGGTCATGTTTGAGTAAAAATGAGCAAAAAACATGACATCTTGAAACGCTCACCAATTCTACAGTTAACAAGCAATTTTACAGTTCTTTATGTGTTTGTGTAGAGAAAAGACGGCGGTACAAAACTGTTATCTCGGATTTTCAAAATTTAGGGTTTTTGACCACAAAAAGTAAAAAAAAAAGATTTTTTTTAGAAAAACTCAAAAAATTCCAAATTTTTTTCAAATTTCGAAAAAAACGGAATATAAGTGATAGTCCCTTTGCTCTTCGATATACATACTAAATTTCAGATCAATACCTCTTTTTTTGGCCAAGTTATAGCGAAAAAACTGTTAAAAATTGATGACGTCAAATTTTTGAACTCGATTTTTAGCAATTCTGGACCACGTAGCGCAAACCAGAGACCACCATTGAACTCCTCGTGACGAGCTGCATCGAATCAATACCCATTTTATGCAAAAATAGCAACTTTGAATTTTGACCTAATTTGACCTGACCTTGACCTGACCTTGACCTGACCTTGACCTGACCTTGACCTGACCTTGACCTGACCTTGACCTGACCTTGACCTGACCTTGACCTGACCTTGACCTGACCTTGACCTGACCTTCACCAAAACATAATCTGAACTGACCCCAAGGGCTGCCTGTCCCACATAATCGCATTTGGCATATAAAATGGACCAGAAAACATGCATCACAGGATATTTTTAATTTGTGACCCTCAGTGACCTGACCTCTGTGACCTGACCTGGTATCAGTGACTTCAAATAGCATAATATGTGTTTGACGAACATTTCCCCATCGATTAGTTTCAATGAAATGCATTTTACTCGATTTTACAACGCATTTCTTGAAATGCCTGTAAACGGTGAAAATTCGACCTTTTGAGACAGACCACGGTCAGATCACGACTGAATGTATTTTCCAGCCGGGGTTAGACAGCACTGGCGACACCCTACGGCCAGAGGCCGTACCACAGCTTAGCAGTTCACAACTAGGTGGCGGTCAGCAGGCCTGATGAACAGTACACCAGTAGGCGGCGGGTAGCCAGCCTATCACACCCCACCACTCAATTTTCGGCTTTCTTAGGTTTTACGTCTAGGATCCACAACTAAACGGTCCGGTGCTTCCCGCGCGCGCTGAGGGCGAATGGTGGCTGATCTTTCCTCTTCATCCTCGTCCTCGTAGTCGTCCTCGCTACCGCTGTCCTCAGCGGTGCTGGTCGATCCTGTGCTGGACTCAGCCGACGGCGCCGTCTCGGTCTTCGTCTCCGCTCTGATCCATCCCCGGTTCGCTTCAACTGTGGAACGTATCAGATCATTGTAGTGACGAATTTTTATGTCGTTCTTCCTCCTCCCTGTACTCTGCACCCGTGCAACCCGATACGTCCATCCGCCACGCATCACCTCAATCACCCGGTACAGCGGCGACAAAACAGGTGACATTTTCCCACCAAGTCGGCCCCGTTCCGCGACTGTTAGCCGCAATCGAACCAGATCACCGATCTCAAACGGTTGTCCCCGTGCTCTGGTAGCGTGATGCGCCAACCGTGCCTCCTGCGTACGTTCGACACTTACTTGCGCCTTCTGATGCATACCATCGAGTAGACGCCGCCGTTCAGCCACCTCGTCGGTTGGTGACCGCGCTGCTCCCGGCTCCTCCCCGGTGCTGATCGCCGACTCCGGTCGACGAGCTGGGCGGGCGAATAGTAGCTCGAACGGGCTGAACCCAGTAGCCGCATTCTGTGAAGTATTATGGCTAAACTGGAGATCATAAATGCGGGTAGGCCAGAGACGGGCGTCATTGTCACACACGCAGCGCAGATTGGCAATCAGTTGGTTTTGACGCTCAACTTGCCCTTGGCTCTCTGCATGGAGAGGAGCACCCATCTTATGCCGCATTCCCACACTGCGACACATCCCTCGGAAGGTCTCCGCAGCAAAATGAGGCCCCCTGTCCGAACATACCGCCACGGGTACGCCGAATGTACTGATCCAGCGTGTGCGGACAAGCCTGGCCGCGGTCTCCGCTGTGCTGTCCTCCGCTGGCAGTAGTAGCAGGTACCGGCTGAAGACGTCTTGAATCTGCAGTACATAACGATACGGATGATTGTCAGCACTCGGGAAGGGTCCTGCAAAATCGACCTGAATCTTCTCGAGGGGTCCACTCGGCATCTCTGTTCGTTGCAATGGCGCCCTTCCGGGCTTTTTGGGTGGTTTGTTTCTCGCACACACTTCACATCCAAGTACGTACGTAGTTACATCCTTTTTCATGTTTGGCCACCAAAACGTGTCACGAGCTCGCTTCCAGGTCCTGTCCCGTCCCATGTGTCCACTAAGGGGGGCATCATGAATCAGACGTAAGGCCTCAGCCCTCATGTTAGCAGGCACAACTGTTAGCTGTTTTCTTCCACCGTTAAACATGTATCGCAATATCCCATCCCGGCTAACTTGCAGTCGGCGACGGAACTGATACAGAAACCGGGCTGCATCTGACGACTTACTTGACAGCCGCTCTCCGCTGATCAGAGCTGCTCGGACCGGCGACACCTGCTGATCCATGCGCTGCTCCGCTAGCAGCTGCTCCGGCGAAAAGATGGTCGTCGTCAGATCTGACTCCAGGTCCAGCGTCTGCGCCTGTACGCTGCACACCAGGTCACCGTTTGGCCCCACTCTGGAAAGGTAGTCCGCGATCGTCATCTCTGCATGTTTACCGGACTTGTGTACCGGCCGAATCTGAAATTGCTGCAAAAAGTCAATCCACCGACCGCGTCGCCCGTGTTCGTCGTTGGCGTCGAGGGAGTTTAACCACCGAAGAGCCTTGTGATCAGTTATCAGGTCGAACGGGCCGTTAGACAGGTACACCCTAAATCTTTTGACTGCCAAAACAACTGCTAAAAGCTCCTTTTCGGTGGTACTGTACCTTTTCTCGTGTTGTGATAGAGCATGATGAAAGAAGCCGAGGGGCTTCAGATGCTGGCCATCACGGTTGGCAAGCATCGCCCCGGTCCCGACGTCGCTTGCGTCTGTTACGAGCGTGAACGGCTTGGTGAAGTCTGGGAGATACAGCGCTACTGCATCTGATACTTGTTGTTTCAGCTTGTTGAACGCTGACTTCATCTTGTCCGTCCAGTGCAGCTTCTGTCGACCGTCTTTGTCCAGGGCGTCGTACAGTGGCCGTGCAGTCTCGGCGACGCCGGGGATCCATCTCTGTACAAACGCAAACGAGCCCAGTGCGCGTCGCAGCTCGTGAACGTCACCAGGCACCGGCAGGCTTCGAAGATGTTGCACACGTGCCTCGCTCATGCTGACCATGCCGTTGCCAATGACTGCTCCCAAGTATTCGACGGTCTTCATTCCAAACTGGCATTTCTGATGTGAGAGTGCCAGTCATGCATCTCGTATCTTCTCCAAAACTGAACGGAGGCGACGCTGGTGCTGCCCCCATGTTTCACCCCACACCAGAACATCATCAAGGTAGCACAGTGCCTCGGTGTAATTCGACTCGCCGAGCACAGCTGACATCATCCGCTGGAAAGAGAAGCCAGCCCCATGGAGGCCGATCGCTCTGCCCATTCGTAATGCCCCCAGGGGACCACGAATGCAGTAACCTCGCTATCTCCTGGTGATAGCGGCAGCTGGTGATAGCCGCACTTGGCATCCAGAACGGAAAAAAATCTGGCGTTACCGAGCCGATCTACGAGGTCCTCCATCAGCGGGATCGGATGTAACGTCGAAGCGGCGGACTGAGCATTGACGCGGCGGTAGTCGATTGCCAGCCGCAGTCGTCCATCCTTGCGGCGGGCGCACACCACCGGAGCAGCCCACGGGCTGTGGGACGGTCTGATGACTCCCATCGACTCGAGTTGCCGAAGCTCCTGCCGCACTTCTTCCTCTAGGCGAGGAGACAGACGTCTGGGTCGTGACGCTATCGGGCGCGTTCCTGGAACGATATTGATACGGTGCTCCACATTCACATGGACAACTGGCAAGCGACCGCCGGTGTAGAAAACGTCGCTGAACTCTGCAGTTAACTGCTCGATGTCCGTACGCTGAGACTTAGTCAGATCAGGTCCGATATTGAAAGAAATGTCAACTTTGCGCTCGTTCAGCCGCGGCGGGGCTTCCAGTACAAAATCTGTCTTAGCCAGGGCGATCACTTCGCCTCGTCTCAAAATTTCGTCATTTGCGCCCACATTTGCTACCTTGACCCAAATCGTTTCTTCGTGACTGGCCCGTACGATACAATATGATGCACAAACAGCCGACTCATCAGTCCCAACAGGTTCCAACAGGTATTCCTCACCTGGCTTCAGCTCATTCCCTCTCACAGGGACCAGCGCCTCCGTCGAAGGAGGAATGGTGACGTCGCGCCGCACCCTCAGATGGACGACCTCTGGCGATCTGTGGGGGCGAGCCGCGCTGTGCAGTTCCAGCGTCACCCCCAGCTCCTCCAACACCAGGTGGCGCTGCTGCAGGTCGAGCTTGAAGCTGCCGAGACGGGCCCAAAAGTCAATGCCTAATATAGCCGGCACGATAAGTCCTCGCACCACAACAAAACGCTGCTCAGGCACGGTTACGTCACCAACTCTCACGTCGCGCCACACCTCACCGGCACCGGGATAGTCTCGCAACTGACACCTCGGCCACGGACGTTGGATGGGCGAATAGCATGTCGTTCACGGAAAGTTAGCTCATCCTCTGAAATCAGTGACCAGTCAGCTCCGGTGTCCACCATTGCTCTCCCCGGCGCCCCACTATTCCACTCAACCGAAACGTAGGGGGCCGAGCTGAGAATGCGGGATACATCAGCTCCCGCAGACTGGGGGTCCACGTCAGCTTCCACAGGACAAACGTGAGAGAAAACAAAATTAACTTCTGGTACCTGACGAGACCACTGTCGTACCCTTCGGGGGTTCACTTCAGTGGGCCCCGCCTGAGATCCTGTAGTAGGGAGGCCCACTACGGAAAATCCGGCTGCCACTGCTGCTCATCAGAGACGACCGGCGCCGCGGAGCCGGGGGTGACCGGTGCCGCGGAGCCGGGACCGAACGAGCGGCGCGGGGACCATGAGGGGTTCTCGGTCAGACGCTTCCGACAACTGAACCATCCACCCAGGTGTGCAATATTACAGTAATAGCACCGCCCAATCGGCCGGTCACCTCTCCCAGCCCCACTGCGCGGAGCCGGGGGACGGCGGGTGTACTGACCTTGAACTTCCCGCTGGCGCGCCGGCTGAGCTGGTGCCGATCGCTGCTGATACCCGGTACCCCGCGCACCCCGGCTGGGCAGGGGAGGGCCGGTAGAGGTGGCGGTGACAGCTCCGCCATGCCCTCGCGTCTCGCAGTCGCCTGAGGAGAGGGGAGGGGAAGCTACGCTGCCCTCTCTGAGCCATGCGCCCGCGGCGCAGGCCCCGCCCACCTGATGACGGTGACCTGTGAGAGAGGCCGCCTGCTTCGCCGCCCGTGCTGTTTCTGCAATCTTAATGATTTCGTCATATTCCTTTGCGTTTGCCTCGTCCTTCATCCAGCGTTCATGTATCAGCCTTTCACGAATATCTCTATCCACCAGTCCGTCTAAAAAACGCCAGACAACTCGCTTGCGCTTTATATCGCTCGACTCACTTGCAAACGCATCTCCAGCCAGGCGCTGCAATCGCGTTAGAAAATCGGCCAAACTCTCCCCCTGACCTTGGTTCGCCTCCTCAAATCTCAGAATTCTCACCTCAATTGCCTCGGTCGTCACGTAACGGCGCTCGAGCCGATTCAAAATGCCCTCGTCGTCCTTCACCCACGGTGATCCTTGTGCCGCTTCCTCCCTCAGGAATTCGGCGGGCGCTCCGACAAGGCACAAACGTAGCTCGACGCTCCGATAGGCTGGATCTTGCCATAGCGCTACCCCTCGCGCGATATTGGCTTCTTTGACGAGAAGATAATGATCCTTGAAACTTCTCCACGCACTTGGTGACGTTTCTTCACCGAACGTCCTGCTAAGAGCCACAGAACGGCTCTCCCCACCGCGTACAGCTACCACTGCGTCCGGCGTAGGCATCGTCAGACGCTGCCACCAGTGAGACAGACCACGGTCAGATCACGACTGAATGTATTTTCCAGCCGGGGTTAGACAGCACTGGCGACACCCTACGGCCAGAGGCCGTACCACAGCTTAGCAGTTCACAACTAGGTGGCGGTCAGCAGGCCTGATGAACAGTACACCAGTAGGCGGCGGGTAGCCAGCCTATCACACTTTGACCTGACCTGTGACGTCATCGGCTTGACTTAGGTCAATGAAATTCGGCCACAAGGTAGTTCCCCATTGGGGCTATCCAACACCGTTTACCGCTTGTCGCTATGTTGCGTGGTTCTCGAGATCTTAGGGGGGGGGGCCAAAATGGCCCCCCATCAGACCACGTTGCTCGCCAGACCCCATCAGGGCGCGGGTTAATTCGGAGATATGGAATTTCAAACTTGCAGTTTTCGGATTCTAAGGGGCTAATGCATTGAGATGCCCCCTTAGAATTTGTGACGTCAGCGGTGATCTAACGATTTTAAAACCCTATACTAACATCTTTGTGAAGCAGTGGTGGTATATGCTATTTGCGCGCAACATCTGCCGCAAACGCCGCACTTCCAAAATGAAGTCGCTAGAAACAGCTGAGATCCCCAAAAAATTAAACAAAAGTAAAAGTCTAATACCTTGAAAACCGGTGAATAGTTTTCGGTGAAATTTGGTAGATATTCGTTTTTGCTCTTTCTGAACCGAGCGACGTCATTTTCATGCCAATTCATTAACCCGCGCCCCAGTGGCGGTCTCAGCCAACTTCGCCCTAGTGGGGGGGGGGGCATATGTTACCACCCACCTCTAACTCAAAAACTAAGAGGGATAGAAAGACGCGGTAAAAAGCACACGATAGCTCTCAATGCGTACGTTTGAAAGTATTTCGTTCATTTTTCATCTTAGAGCAATATTGGGGTCACCAGAGGTCATCAAAGGTCAAAATTTGCCAATGGTCATTATATTTTTCAGAAAACATGCCATTATCTCAGGAACTATGGTAGCTAGAAAAACGCATGGAACAGTAATCGATAGCTTTTGAACTCTTCTTTTGATAAGGTCATTATCAAAATTGACCTCAGGTCAACGGTTTAGCCTCCAGAGGGCAAAAACTCCAAAAAAGCTGTTTTTACGAAAAGTGTTTTTCGACAATAACTTTCGACTACAAAAAGCCACTACATTTCTATTGCCAGAATCGTGTTCCTCTTGCCGAGACGCGTCGAATGAACTATAATCTGACCTTGAAAGGTCAACTTGAAAATTTGACCTCAGGTCAAGGTCATGACCTGACCGGAAAAGGTCATGTTGCATATCGTCGATGCGCCTCGGCAAGACAAACACAATGAGACCGTCCCCAGCGTTCTATCTCTTTCCAATCTCGAGTTATTGGCAAAAAAAAACTGTTTGTAGCCTCAAATGACCTCGGATGACCTTTCTAGAGGCTATCAGCAAAAATGACACCTTGGTCATCACGGGTGGTCCAAATCATTGTGATTCTGAAATATTTGGACTGTTCCTATGCGTACACACGGATCTAGAGGCATTTTCATTTTTCTCCCTTGACTTGTAATGGAAAGGTCACGCCACTGACCTGACCTTAGGTCACGGATATAAAAAAAAATCCGAGATATACAAATTGTAGGCGCCCATAACATCATGCAATCCACCAAGTTCAAAACCTTTCCGACAAACACTGCAGGCTGGACATGATTGCAAACTTTTTTAGGCTTGGTCAGTTAACTTGACCTGGTGACCTGACCTGACATGACCTGGGGTCAAAAATTTCACACATTGTCCAAAATTGATGTACCAAAAGCTACCCGAAGCGGCGCGGCGCTACGCGCCGCGGTTTTTTATTTACACGCAAAAAAAAACGCGACACGGTGGTAACATATGCCCCCCCCCCACTGGGGCGAAGGTTAATTAACCCGCGCACCGACGGGGGTCTGCGCCAACTTCGTACCGACGGGCGGGGGGGGGGGGCGGATGACCGCCCCCCCTGAGATCTCGAGAACGAGGCAAGATAGCGACAAGCGGTAAACGGCATCGGATACGCACGGACAAGGTCTACAATTTTTACAAAGGTCATTTTCAGGCCAGGTCAAAGATGACGTCACAGGGGTCGGAAAAGTCAAAATGGCGGCGCTAGATAAGGAAAGAGTTTTTCTCGAATAACTTTCGAATTAGTCATGATAGGAACAAACTAAGGGCATCATCGTGATCCTCTCGTCAATCCGCATCGAATGATGTATATGTTGACCTCGAAAGGTTAAGGTCAAAGGTTGACCTCAGGTCACGTGACCTCGAGGTTATCATGCATATCATTCGATGCGTCTTGACGAGCTGAACACAATGAGACCATCCGTGCGGCTGTATCTTGTTCCTGTACGGAGTTATTGGCAAAAAAAAAACTTTGGTGACCTTTGATGACGTCACATGACCTTACAGCTGCCCAACAGCAAAGCAGACCTCAAGGTAGTAAAGGTTGATCGTATATGAAGTCATGTATGGTATATGGGGTCATTCCGACCCGTTTTAGTGGTACAAACAGGAGTTGATTTTTCCCCAATTGACTTATAATGGGGAGGTCGCGAAATTGACCTGACCTTAGGTCACCGACAACAAAATTCCGAGATATACAAATTGCTGCTACTAATGACCTAATAACATCCTGCGACTTTCAAAGGCCTCCGACATCTACTGTAGCTCTGGCACTGTGACAAAGTTGCAAAAAAGTGACTTGAGGTTGGGTCATTCAAAGTGACCTGGTGACCTGACCTTCAAAGTTAGGAGGTTCAAACTTGCACACCATGTGTAAAATTGATGAGAAAATAGTCGTAACAAATTTCGCGGTGCTACGCGCCGCGGTTTTCCCGCTATCTGCGAAAAACCTCGGGGGGGGGGGGATATCCGCCCCCCCCCCCGTCGGTGCGCGTGTTAAAATTAAAGACGTAGCCGAACTTCAAATAATACTTATCATGCATAAGTACATAATGCAGGAATTACCAGTCTCTGTAAGACGATTACGTCATTTTTTAACTGACCCTATCCATCAGACAAGAAATATCCACCATTTTCAGTCTGTTTTTTTTTCAGCAAAAAAAAATTACAGTTCAGCTCTAAAGTACTCATTTCCTTGCATTGGATCCAAACTCTGGAATGACTTAATAGCTAAAGATCTTCTATAAGAAGAAGTATCTCAATCAAAAAACACTTTCAAAAATATGTAAAGAATATCTTACTTAGTGAGTACTAAGCAAAAGTAGTTATCAAAAGTTTAAGTAAAGTATTAGCAAAAGTATTAGTTAGTTTAAGTATCTTGGGTACTAAGTATCCTCGTAAATAAAACTATAAAATAAATACAAAAATATGTTAAATCTCTGAAAGATATGAAACAATCTTTGTAATGAAGAATAAAGCTACAAATAGGACTGATACAACAATAAAATGATAATAAATAACAATGCATACCTAAATAACGAAATACACACGCTTACCTAGTAATTTTCATACAAAGTGCTTAGCATCTCGACAAGTGGCCCAATAATAAATGGACATATTGGTGCATTTATTATTGGGCTAGACTGACAATGATGTGTTGAAAAGTAACCTACCTTTGTGATTATCGACACAAGAGATAGGTCCCCACTCAAATGGAACGCCGGACTTGAAGGGGTCCATCAGCAACAAGCCCTGCTTAGCTGGTGGGCCCTAGAAAGTCTGGCTGTTGACCTGCGCTCGAATTGACCAGAAATGTTTCCCCACTGGACTGCCATTTGCTGATTTTCCTTCTAGGAGTGAATACACTCTACTAACCAATTATGTATGCATGTATGAATGACTTCTTTCGTAGATGTAGTAGAACAGTCATCCGCTGCTTTCCGCAATGACTATTTTGGCTGTCTTTATTTATTAACCGGTTCCCGCACTTCTTTTGCTTACTTGTTTTTTTCATTTTCCTAGCTGGGAGTGCCTCGACTTATCCTTTTTTATTTTTGTCTGGTGTCAACGTAAGGTGCTGTGAGTCGCTGGGCTGAGGGTGGGGGCATTCCTGGTCACCTAATAATGGGTGGCGGAGTAGTTCGGAAAAAAATCGGGAGCCGAATACGGTGTTTTGGAGCCAATACCTGGGAAACCCTACCCGCCCAATGCGACTTCTTAAGAGTCTGCATGCCCAAATTAACGTTGAACGCGGCCGTTTTCGGTCGGTTTTCCACGACTTTGTGGCGAAATCGCCTTATTTATTCAACCAGGATGGACTAATTCGCTTAACCCGCGCCCCACTGCCCACTAGCCCCACTAGCCTAAGAACACGTTTTGGGCAACCAGTTTCAGTCCATTCTTCGGCAACTACGGTGCAAGGCCGATACTGTAGAAACTTGCATTTTGTACCTTTGGCCTGACCTTGGCCTGACCTCTGACCTACTTAACCCGGCCGGGCCCGGGGGAAATCCCAACCACCGCAGCCCGGGAGGGGCGTTTTTCGCCCCCCCCCCGTCTAACTCCGTAAATAAGGGAGTTACGGAAAGAAAAACGATACCAAACGAAAGGTCCTTACCAGACAATTCTAAAGCACCTGACATTTTTGACCTCAGGTCAATTTTCAAGGTCAGCAGTCAAGGTCAAAGGCAAAAACCGGCACATGTGTAGTGATCTCAGAGTAAGCGTTCTAGAGGACGACAGGATGCATCAAACCGGCAAAATTGGAGGTCAAACGAAAGAAGAGAATCTGAGAATTACGAAACTGTGCTCAAAATCAAAGGTCAAGGTCAAAGTCACGCCCAAAATTGACCTCAAACTTTGCATTTTTTCGTACATCGTGCGTGCTAACTTCCAAGATGTTTTGAAATGTTTTGAGGCTTATCAGTTCCCTATTTGTGGTTCATCTTACGATAAAAGGCTGCTAAAAGGTCAAGGTCACAGAAAAGTATCCTTGCTAGAGGCTATTTCACTGATTCAAGTTAGTAATAATAAATAAGACAATTTTGCCATCCGGAAGCTCTAAATGAAGTCTTAGAGGAAAATAGATGCCAGATTCGTGATCAGCGATTACAAATCCATCACAGGTGACCTTTCATGTGTCAAGGTCAACCCAAGGTCATTCGAGGTCACATTAGGTCAACATAAAATTTGACCTTTTCCAAACAAAATGTTTATCATTCGACGCGGCTTGCCAAGACGA